ACCAAGGGATTTCTCATGTAGTTCAGGGACCTGAGGTACAGATATCCTCCTTCAACACCCTGACATGTGGCAAGGCACTGAGGAGAAGGGAAGACACCCTAATGTTCGGGTGGAATATATCAGAGGGCCTAGATTTGGTTCTATTGTATATTTTTTGAGGGGAGTAGGGTACTTGGGATTGAACCCAGGGGCACTTTGTCACTGAGCTACATGCCCAGCCCTTTTATTTTTTATTTTGAAACAGAATCTTTCTCAATTATTTAGGGCCTCACTAAATTGGTGAGACTGGCCTAGAACTTGCAATCTTCCTTCTCATCCTCCCAAATTGCTGGGATTATAGGTGTGCACCACCACACCTGGCTATATGCTGTCTTAATGAGGCTCTGTAGCCATGTCAAGGTTGCGGGGTGCAATTTTCATGATGGGAAGCTGGTAATGAGGGTCCTGGGCTCAGGGTCTGTGAGAGCCTCAAATCTTCAAAGAATCCAGTAAGCAGTCAGTCATTGGTTGTTTGGTGCATAGCATGAGACCAAGAGAGACAATTTCTTGCATACAAAATCTTAGAACTAAGTATTTGATATCCTGAGTGGTCCAGAGACTTATATAAGCATGAAAACAGTTCCCAGTGTTTTTATCATGAAGGATTTTCTTAATGTTCTAAAGGGAGTGAGTGTTCATTTTAATGCATAAGTAAAATTTGTAAATGAGGAATGTATTGCCAGCATAATTGAAAAAAATTAAAAGATATTGGACTTTTATATATTTAGTAAATGTGTTAGGTGAATCTCCTTGGAAGGAGATGTCATTAATGTACTAGTGTTCCTGGACTACATTATGTATCATCAACATCATGTCTGCCAATTGCATAATGAAAAAGATGTTGATGTACCTCATGTTCAGCCTTCTACCAAAGGTTTGTTGTATCCCTTTGAAGGTGTATGCAATCTGCAGCTGAAAGCGTGATGCAACAGGCAGTAAATAGAACTGATTAGCCAAATCTATAAATCTCACGTTTGATTAAATAGCATTAATAATTGTAATAATTTTGGACATTGATTTAGCAGGCATTGGTGGATAGGATCACAGTATTATGTTTGTAGAAAACCATCATGAGACATGCTCTATATTCTATATTTTTAATGTATCTGTATCATTGATTCATTTCAGATTTAAGAACAGACAAAATTTGTCTTTCAAATGGAGACTCAGAGGGGATGATCACCTTTATTATTGCATTTATTGATTTACTTTTTTTTTTTTAAAGAGAGAAACAGAAAGGGAATTTTTTAATATTTATTTTTTAGTTTTCGGCAGACACAACATCTTTGTTTTTGTATGTAGAGCTGAGGATCGAACCCAGGCTGCACGCATGCGAGGCAAGCGCGCTACCGCTTAAGCCACATCCCCAGCCCCATATTGATTTACTTTTTTATTTTGCTGTTCTTGAGATCAGACCCAGGACCTTCACATGGAAGACAAATGCTCTACAGCTGAGCAACACCTCCAGCTATACCTATTTATTAGGCTTTAACATAATGAGTTTTAGGACTTCAGTCCCCTCTTTTAATTTACACTGGGTTATGTTAACAATTTTAAATGAGGATTCATGGGGTCCCATTTTCTCAAGCCGACTTTTAAGTACCAAAGACTTTATTTTTATTCTTTCAGAACATTTATGTCCAATATTAGAGCATTTTGCAGCAGTGACTAACTATGGAAAATTAAATCAAGGCAAAAGCTAAATGAAGACCTATACTTTTCTTTCTATATCAAATTAATTACCTAAGATTATAGCGGGCCAGGTGTGCTGGAGTCCTGCTGTAATGCCAGCCATAACAACTTCATGAGACGCTTATCAACTTGGAGAGACCCAGTCTCAAAAAATAAAAAAGGGTCAGGCTGTAGATCAATGGTTTTGTCCCTGGCTTCAATCCCAGTATCCATCCCACCACTAACAATAAAAGCAAAAAACAAAATAAAGAGGAAACAGGGTTTAAAATCAGTGGAATGCCCAGATGTAACCTTAATTTGAGCCCTACTATGATTAATTACATGAATTTTTGTCAATAGTGCAGTTTATTGGGCTGGGGATGTGGCTCAAGCGGTGGCGCGCTCGCCTGGCATGTGTGCAGCCCGGGTTCGATCTTCAGCACCACATACAAAGATGTTGTGTCCGCCGAAAACTAAAAAATAAATATTTAAAAAAATATTTTAAAAAATAGTGCAGTTTATTATTTGTTAGAGTTCAGTTATAATCTTTGTGGTGGTATAAAAATCTGTCAGAACATTTTTTAAAATACTTATTTTTTAGTTGTAGTTGGACACAATACATTTATTTTATTTATTTATTTATTTTTATGTGGTGCTGAGGATTGAATCCAGGGCCTCATGCCTGTTAGGCAAGCAGAGCTCTGCCACTAAACTACAGTCCCAGCCCCAGAACTTTTTTTTTTTTTTTAACTTTATGTTATATAAATTTTTTTTCCTGGTACCAGGGATTGAACCCAGGGGCACATAACCATTGTGCCACATCCCCAGCCCTTTATTATTTTGTTATTTTTTATTTTGAGACTGGGTCTCTCCAAGTTGATGAGCATCTCGTAAAGTTGCTATGGCTGGCTTTAAGCTTTCAATCCTATCTCCAGCTTATTTTTTATTTTTTCTGTTTTTTATTTTATTTTATTTTTTTTAAAGATAGAGTGAGAGAGAGGAGAGAGAGAGAGAGAATTTTTTAATATTTATTTTTTAGTTCTTGGCGGACACAACATCTTTGGTGGTATGTGGTGCTGAGGATCGAACCCGGGTCGCACGCATGCCAGGCGAGCGCGCTACCGCTTGAGCCACATCCCCAGCCCCTTTTTTCTGTTTTTTAATCATTCACAGTTATTTTAACTATTCCCAGGAAAAAGGATCATGCATTACATTTAGTGGTTCTGTTGGTCAAAAATCATTTGAGCAAGAGTTTATTTCTTTCCTCTAGTCCATTAGCCTATATATGTGTCTTAATTTTAATTTGTGACAGCATCTATGCCCAATGCAGGATATTTTATGGCAATAGGAACTATGACCATGGGAAACTCAAGCAACTATATAGTTAAAATGGGGCATAACTATTTTTCCTATAAAGGTAGTTATTTTATTAAAATTATAATGTTTAACTTCAGCAATATATCCAGGTATAAATAGATGAGCCCCAGGAATCTATTGATTCTGGAGCTTAGTCAATTAGTGCATTTTAGCAAATGCTAAAATTAATTCAGAACCTATGTTGATATGTGCTTATTATTATATTTGCAAAATTGTATTCTATCAATTTATAGTACATAATATTTAAAAAAAATTAGTTGTAGTTGTTCATTGACCTTTATTTTATTTATTTATTTATATGTGGTAAGACTCGAACCCAGCGTCTCACACATGCCAGGCAAGTACTCTTCCCCTGAGCTACATCCCCAGCCCTGTAAATGTTAGTATGTAAAATTTGAGTTTCAGGGGCTGAGGTTGTGGCTCAGTGGTAGAGTGCTCGCCTAGCATGCATGAGGCACTGGGTTCGATCCTCAGCACCACATAAACAAATATTTTTAAAAATTTGAGTTTCAAATTCTGTAAAATTGTCAATCTGTGTGTCTGTGTAAATATATATGAACATGTTAAGTATAAATAATATATAAAATACATTTACCTATGTAATTTTTTTGTTATCTTTTATTTTCAGTGTAGGGGATTTTGTCTTAACTTATTTTCTTTCCCTCCTTTTTTTTCCTTTCCTACCTTTTCTTACATTCCTAGCTGCTTGAAACCTTAGTATTCAGTTGTTGTCTTTGCTGAAACTCAGGATGGACATTCTAAGTGGTTACAGGAAGAGGGGTAGGGATAGGCCCCTGCTGCACTGCCTATAGGCAGCCTATTTTGTCCTCTATCTTTCCAATATGACTTTAGAAAATAGTGTTTGCTGAGAGAACTCTAATAGCCCCTCCTTAAGACAGCATAATTTTGTCTTTTGTTTGAAGTATCAGTTCTTTTCAAACAAAAGTTTTGTTTGAAACTTTTTTTGTTGTTGTTGTTTGTTTGTTTTTTAAGTCCCCAATACTTTTCTCTGTTTTCTTGTGTCCTGGTTGGCCCAAGTAGCTCTGGGCATAGGTGATGGCCTCTTTCTATAGTTTGTTCTAGTTCACCTCTGAGGGGCCTGGATCTACTTTCAAGAAAGAGACAGGGGCCTTAAGAGTGTTTTCGAGCTGGGGATGTGGCTCAAGCCGTAGCGCGCTTGCCTGGCATGGGCAGGGCACTGGGTTCAATCCTCAGCACCACATACAAATAAAGATATTGTGTCCACCGAAAACTAAAAAATAAATATTGAAAAATTCTCTCTCTCTCTTAAAAAAAAAAAGTGTTTTTCAACCTCTAGGACCTTACATAAGGCCCTTGGTTTACTCAAAGGCAGAGTATATAACTGAGGACCATGCATATTATTTGGGAATTTTATGTTCCTGAATCAACTGTGGGATATCCTGAGGGCTCTTTGGTGGGCAAGGATATAGGGTCTTCTTGCTCCTTCTGTGCAAGAGTATCATACTTCACTGGGTCAGGGGACGAATTATAACAACAACAAGGCAAGTAATAACTTGAGTTTACCTCTAGGACTCTTTTGGCTGGGTGCTATGGCCTAGTTCAGGAGTTCAACCATAATAACATTGAAAAGAATACTAACATAAGGTGTTACCTGAGATAAAATGTTACCCAAGCTAGGCATGCTCATGCATGCCTATAATCCCAGCAACTAGGGTGCTGAGGCAAGAGGATCACATGTTTGAGGCCACTAGCATTATCTTAAAATGTAAAGCTGAAAGATTATGGGGAAAGCTGAATGTGTATAGCAGCAGGCCAAAAAATCAGGGAGTGTGGGATCCTGTCCCCACTGAGAAGGCACTTGATACAGGTGCCTCCTAAGGAAGTAAATAATCTCCTTTAACTTTTGTGACCTGTGCCTGTTTTTCTTCTAGGTATAGAAGTTTAGGATGTAATGAGTTCAGGAAGAAAAGCCAGGTGAAGATTTTGGCACAGGGGTGAAGACTTCTTCAGCACACAAAGTCACATCATCTCCATTGGTGAGATTTAGGAAAATGGCCATGTTTGGAGGGATGTGGGACTGGGGTATGCTTTGAAGTGACAATACACTGGCCTTGATGCATTTGCCTAGTTTTGTTAAAACCATGGATTACTGCAAAGATAGGGGCTTCTGAAGTGAATGTTCAGAGAATTTCAATACAAAGTAGAAATGAATATTTCAGGACACTGAGCCATATACAAGCTTGGCATTGATGAAAAGAAGCTGCATGAACTCTACTAATGTAGCAGAGACAGGTAAGTTATCTACAGTGACTAGTGGAGTTCTTATATTAATTTTAAGTGCCTTGTAGATACACGGAATAGTCATTGGAGTTTCATTATTCCACTTAAAATGAGCTCCCTTATGTTTATTGCATTGCACTGATAAGTATGTCACATAATAGCAACCATTTTAACCTTCCTGGACCCTTCAGTGTTCCCAACACATTTACCTTGCCATGCGCCATCACCACTATCCAGTTCCAGAACACTTCTGGTACCCCAAAAGACACTGTGTACCTGTTAGCCCTTAGTCCCTGCTGTCCCCTCCCCTCACTGCTTGGCAACCCCTATCTCTATGGGATTGCCTATTCTGGACATTTAAATAAACAGCATGACTTTCTTAGTTTATTAACTTGATTTATGACTTTTAAATGTTTAGGCATGTGGTTTGTGGGCCTTTGATAAAAAAAATTATTGATGCAAAAATTATTAATTACAATTTTCTGTTTTCCTTTACTCCTTTTAATTGACTGAATAATCACTTACGTTTTGTAGCAGTTAAGTGAAACATTTCAAGTAGTACATGTACATGTCACCTGCAACATTTTCTGCTATTCTTGGAGGAGGCGTGTAGTTGATTGGACACAATTCATTTAGTGTTGTTCTTGCCCTTGGCCATTGGCTGCTCTCAGGTCCCTAATAGTTGTTGGTATTGCTGAACATCCCAGCGGTACATGTACATTCTGAGATTTTGCATATTTTCTTTCCAAAGAAAAGGAGTAGACCTTTGAACCGTGGCCCAAGTTTGATTTCATTTTTGTTGTCTTTGTATAGAATGCGGAGGGGAGGGGGTGAATGGGCAGGTCCACAGGACTTCTGCAGTTTGTGGCACTATTACTCTGTGTGTGTGTTCATCTCCTCTGCTACTATCACCAAACTGATCAAAATCATCCTGGTCTATTTTCTCTTCCTCTTCCTCTTCAGCAGCATCTTCCTCCTGTTTTTCTTGGTTTCCTGAGGAGTCCTTGTATACCGAAATAAGTTCATTATTATTTTCTTCCACTTGTTCTTGCCAAGAATCATTTGGGTCTCCAGGTCGAGGTTCTGTTCAACAACTTCACCATTCTTTGAAGTGTGCTCCTCCTCTGTTTTCTCATCTATCTACCTTAAGGTTCTGTGAGACCCTTCAGTTTGTGGTCTTTTGCTGCCCACACAGAGAAATTCCTGATTCATTTCTAAAACCCAGCCTGCTACTTCTTGGACTTTGCCTAGACTATTAGAAGATGTGACAGTTTTCACATTCAAGAATTTAAGATAGCCTTTTAGAAATATTGCTGATGGTGGAGACACTGTTTTAGAGAGAAGTCCTGGTTCTGACAAAGTGGGTTGGTTTCCTTCCTCCTTGGCACTGAGGCAATAACTGTGGAAGGCTCCTGCTCAAAAATGAGAAGAAGCAGTGGTAGTGTGGCTACAACCAGAGGATGGTTCTACTCATCTCCCTTTCTTCTTCCTGGGTGTCTTGCTTATTTATGCTTTTCCTGTGCCACTTTTTTTTTTTTTTGGTAGTGGTGGTGCTAGAATTGAACCCAGGGCCTTATAGATGCTAGGCAAGCATGCTTTATCACTGAGCCACATCCCCAGGCCATTGCTTTTTTTATTTTTATGTTTTTCTAGTTGTTGATAGACCTTTATTTTATTTCTTTATATGTGGTGCTGAGAATCAAACCCAGTGCCTCACACATGCCAGGTAAGTGTGCTACCACTGAGCTCCAGCCACAGCCCCCCATGACTTTTTTTTTTAATACATATTCTTTTAGTTGTCAATGGATCTTTATTTATTTACATGTGGTGCAAGGATCCAACCCAGGGCCTCACACATGCCAGGCAAGCACTCTATCACTGAGCCACAACTCTAGCCCATGATTTTGTTTTTATAGTTTACCTTGGTAGGAGGCTGTGAGGGAGGACAGGAGTAGAGTAACTCCCCAAAGACCTGCAGAAGAGCCAGGGGTCTGGTGACTGACCAAGGAAAAAGACCCCTAAGGATATTGAGGAGAAGGGGGACAGTAAGAAACTGGAGAGACACTGATCCTACTCTCCCTGCTTCACATTAGGGTCCCCACACTCAGAATGAGTGTGGCTCCTGAGCTGGGGTAAGGTATCATACAATCCAGGGTGACATGCTACAGGCCCAGGAAGGTATTCCAGGCAGCAGACTGGAGAAGCAATGACTCAGCTTGGCGCCACTTTCACTGTGTTCCAGCAGTTGAGGCTGCCATGTGGACTCCTCTCCCTTCACCTTGTGGATCTTTGCGCTGTGACTCAGGCCAAGCCAGAAATCCCAGCCCCTCCTCAGGGTCCACTTACTAAAGAGGAAGTCCCCAGTCTAGGCTGGCAGTAGCAGCCTCCCTGGTGCCCTGCTGCTGGCTCTGGCAAGGGCTCTTACAAAGGCTCTGGCTTGTGCACGGGCATAAGGAGCCACCTTTTCTGGGAAGGAGACGCCACGGCGTCTCTGGTCTGGGTTAGCGCTGAGGTGTAGGCTGCTCTCCAGTGCTCGCTGGCTCACAGCACTCTCCAGCAGCAGCCATGCAGCTATGAGCTCATCAGGCTCCTCCCTCTCTGTGTAGGTTTCCCGCCTTGACAAAGAAGGGTGGGGGCAGGGAGAGCGGCGCCTACAGATGACACAATCACCCAGTGACCGCTCTCCTCCCCCGCCCTCTGCCTTCCGCCTGCAAGAACATTATTTTTTTTGAGAGAGAGAGAGAGAGAGAATTTTTTTTTTATATTTATTTTTCAGTTCTCGGGGGACACAACATCTTTGTTTGTATGTGGTGCTGAGGATCGAAACCGGCCGCACGCATGCCAGGCGAGCGCACTACCGCCTGAGCCACATCCCCAGCCCCAGAACATATTTAAATGAGGGCTATGTTGCATCTGAGATTAGGATATACAAAAAAACCTTGACTTTATATGTACTTCGTTTGTGTGTCCGACATGGCTGCCTGGAAGAGGGTGTTCTTAATGTATCCTGATTCCTGGACATTTAAATAAACAGCATGACTTTTTTAGTTTATTAACTATTGTTTAGGGAGGCTTTAAGGATGGAATCAAAGTTTGGGTAAAGCACCATAAAGCACCTTTTATTTCTTAAAAAACGGTTGTATGGGTGCATTATAGTCACACGTGATACTAGAGTTTATTTTCACACATAATCATGCATTCATGGAATGTAATTTGCTCCATTTTAGTCTCAGGTGTGCCCTCTTTCCCTCTGCTACCCTCTTATTCATTTTACTTGCTTATTATTTCAGATTTAAGAAGACCAAATTGGCCTGTCAAATGAGAAAACAGACACTAGCAGCAATTCCTTCTTAATTAGCTAGGTATGTTTATATGCTCAAAAGTCCTGTATTAACTTAATAGAGCTGTTGAACTGTTTTAACCCAGTGTAAATGAGATCCCATTTTATCAAGCTAATTTGTAGATGCACAAGCTTACTTCAGTATATTCTTTGTGTCAGAGTATATATGACCAATATAGAAATTTTTGGAATAGTGAGTATTATGAATGTTATGAGTATTATGAGTGAAATTTAGGGAAGGCAGCCATAGCCATTTTTTTCTGTATTATATTTAGTTACCTGTTGAAGATTGAAAGCTGCAGAATTTTAAAATTTCATGGGATCCCAGGTGCACCAATTTGGAGCCCCAGTATTATTAGCCCAGTGAATTTTTGTCAATTGGTGTAGTTTATCAAAAGTTAGTGTTTAGACATACAGTTGATCAGCACTTTGTTTTTCCATTTTTCTTACATAAATACATTATATAAATATATCTTTCGTATATAATCTAGTACATCAATTTTGAATATTCATTTGGACCAAACTAGGTTAATTTGTTTTATTTTAATTATGATTTGTTCCTACTGGAAAACAATTTATCATTGTTTATATTGAACTTCTTTATATATATATATATATATATATATATATATATATATACACATACATACATATGTATACCACACAATTTTTGCCTTTTATCTTTTTTTTAGTGCTTATGACTTAATAAGTAATTTATGTAGTCTAGTCCTTGCATTGTGTTCTCTATATGTGGTGATCCCTAAGTACTAAAAGTTCCCCTTATTTTTCTCCTTGCTTTGTAACTGGCTTAAGTGACAGCCTTTTTTCCTTTAAACATTTTCAAATGTGTTTTAGGAATTTATCTGACAGAAGTTCTTATTTTAAGTTTCTTTTTCTGATTGAGAAGAGGAATAGAGCCATGAGAAAAGGTTCTGTTGACAATGAGCAGCAGCCCTTCCTACCACCATACTCCATTCCCTTCCTCCCACTTCTTCATCTTTTAAGTAAAGGCTTTAAAATGGTTTATATTTCTGTGCAGCTAAAACTTTTCCCCTTTGTCTTGGGACGTTTCCTTTGTCAATTCCTAGTGTTTAAGTGGAGCATGTAGTGAGCATTTCTCGTGGTTTATGGTCCTCTCCTAGGACCACCCAGTTGGGCTATGACAGCTGAGTCTTTTGCCAAGTTTCCAGCTCTGAGAGGAGCCCAAGGACAACGGATGCGCATTTACATTTCTTTATTTTGCTAAGCGCTTCTCTGCAGGGTGACAATGGGTTTTCCTGGCTTTTAAATTGAGCCTTTTTCCACTCACACCAGGTGTTTGTGCATAGGGGGATGACTGTGTGTGGGGGGGATGAATAGCCAATGAAACAAAAGAAGGGGTGGATGCTGCAGTGCCACTGGAGACCCATAGATGGC